TTACTACCCCAGCGCTTATTATTTCATCTTTTGTCGAAGCCTAAATCTCCCACCGAGCACTGTTTTATATTCATCTCGCGTTCCTTCCTTTTTTCCGTTATACTGTTACAGAATTAACCCTTATTATGTTGGAACGAAAAGAGAATTTAGCTTATTGTTGGAAACTGGCGCAAACGTGCAAAAAAACGAAAAACGGTTTGGAGAAATTATCCGTTTTATTTACGTCATCGTTGAACTTTCTAACACCGTAAAATGGATTAAAAAACATGTGCATATTTATTGTCATCTTTAATCACTTTATCTGGTAGTTAATTTGTGATAATACTTTTATTGTTCAGAAACGTTTAGATATGATGACAAACAAAATACGTCTCTTATCGCATCTTCCATAAGCGGTGTACCCCCTCTAGAATTAATTTTCCATCAAATATTGCAAAAGTTGTTTGGCTTAAGCAGTATTAAAAATATCAACCGGATTTGCAATAACATAAAAATAAGTTCATCCGTCAAAAATTATTCTCAAACAACACCCTGCATTTTATTCGATTTTTGGATTGTACATTAATTCTCAAAGTATTGGGGCAGATTGTGAACAATCATCAACGCACGAAAGATAGTCTTACTGCTCCACAAAACGTATACAGTTTGTTTGATTTTAAGCTGTCACAGTGAGTATCTCGGCTGCTGTCAAAAAGTTACAGAAGAAAAGTTGTTCTCATTTAATTTTGCATTATCTGTTACAGCAAAAACAATTGAAAATCAAACGTATTAGGCGCACCAAATAATTCAAAATTTTAAATGAAGTCTACCAAATTTTATAGCATTTTCTGAAACTATACAAATTCTCTTTCCAACTATATATCACATGTTATAGTGTCAATCAATTAAAGAAGTAAGTCGATAATCTACAAATGAACATTTACGCAGATTAGAGCATTAAGTAAAAAGTAGACGAGGAAACAAATGAAATTTTTGTCAGCTTTCAGTTGAGCAATATGTTACTTAATAGTATCTTGACAACATTGGCCAACATGCAATATAAATACAACATAACAAGAAGAAATGATGTACATTCTTAGCATATCTTTTTTGTTATCGTAGAAGAAGTTAAGACAAAAATAACAATATGTATAGATCCAGGTATAAAATTACTCAATCAATTTGACAATAGCAATTGTTTCCATCGCCTACCTTCTCAAACCGATGGAGTCACATCACTTCGATTTACGTTTTTAATTGTAAGATAGCTATGGCATGTGATATAATAATAATCTCGATAATAATAATAATGTTTATTATGTAAAAGTAATTATAAGTAATAAATTACACACATTCTTCTTACAAAAATATATATACCGATAGACAGAGAATTTTGTACCGTTTCAAAATATGTTATAAAATTTGGTAGATTTTATTTAAAATTTTGAATTATTTGCCACACCTAATTTAGGTATAACAGATAACACAAAATTAATGTAGAACAAGTTTTCTACCATAAGATTTTGTCATATCTCTAACCTCGTCTCTAACAGATATCCGCTGTGACAGCTAAAATCAAACGTACTGTATATTGGATTCCGGTCTTAACTGGGCAAAACAACTACTAAAAGTAATTTTACAATAGAAATTCAAATTCCAACTGATCTAATTATCAGAATTATTTCTCACCCCCATATCTCAACTCCCGAATTGAATAAAGTTCGCCGACCTTAATGCACATATTTTAAACAGACAACTTCCATTTACAAGAAAGTGCATCGCATTCGAAAAACCACTTAAAACGATTTCTGCAACCCTTCGAAACTGCATTATAAGGATTATTGGGGCTAAATTTGTCGGGGCATTCATTGATTTCGCCCGATACCGCCGGGGTTCATTCTTGCCCATTCAAAAAGAAAAAAAAATAATAATAAACCTCGACAAGTTCCCAAAACGCTTTTGTCAAGTTTCAAGGCGCACAAACTAAGGGCGGCAGGTAAATAGAATACAATGAGGAGCGTCTAGCAAGCGACAGTATTCCACAGCTTTAAAACGCGCACTCCACACACACAATTTATATTACGTTACGTTTATTTAAATAATGCTGTTTATTTTAACTTGTGCAACAGTGTGTCTAATCGACTCAATTAATAGACGATTTATTGCAAATTATGTCGAAAGTTTACTTAGTAAATCGAATTAACGCGCAGAGATAAATAGATTCCCATAAAAAGAGCCCACTATCATTTTGGTGTACGTTTTCATTTAGTTTTATCTGTTATCGACGTTGATTAACTTTTCTATCCCTAAAAGCGTGTACACGCAATATTGTACTTAACTTGATAAATCTATTACTGTAGCGTTAAAACGGTCAAAATTTTCCACCAATTATTACTCTCATTAATTAGGGATAGGTAATTTAAGAAGCGGTTTGTTCCAAAGTAGATTTGAGGAATTATTAACAACAATAAACAGAGAAAGTTATTGCTAAACTTCACTTGGAACCACCATACTGCAAGAAAGTGTAAATATCAACCTATAACCTAAGGTTAGCTTCAAATAATACATTTCACTCTGTGCCGTTCTCACATTTTGCAAAATTTGAGCAAAAGTTTAATTCTCAAAGCTTCAAAAAGTCGCAAATAAAAAATTCAGAAAAATGCAGAAAATTTGGGGTGTCCCTAAGGGGATATCCCATAAATGTATGTCCTCGTGTATATCTATTAAAGACAAATGTCCCCTTGCCCCCTTCCGACTTCCATATTTTCACTGGGATCTATAGTCTACTCTTCACCCGGCACTTCCAAACGCACTGCCAAAGTTACCTTTTTTTAAGGGGACATTTTCCCCACCCACCTTACTCACTTGACCTCGCTCCTTCATACAGCTTGTACCCCAAACACAAAAAAAGTTTGAAAGGAAGAAGATGTGAGACGATTTTCGAAATTAAGACAAATGCGACGAAGAAACTGAATGACATCATAAAAGAAGCTTTTCAGGACTGTTTCCAAAAGTGGCAACACAAAAAAGGCTTTATGATAGTTATTATTACTGTAAATGTTGAGAACTCGGGAGATGTGAGATATTACGGTGTTTCTGTACAAACTATTACATGACTTAATTGATGGTCTTCATATATTGACAACGCTTTAATGTTCCATCCACGGTTCCATCATATCATTCACGTAATACTTGTAATGTCTTTCTAATATAAATCGCCCATTTTTAGTGGGTATGTATAAGGATTTTTCATACATTGCCACTGACATTCATTATTGCACTATACGAGAAATAATGTCCCTTTTTATAGTATTTAATTGTAGTTAGTTATCGTTATCGACCACAATGTTATATTTTATTTGTATTATCTACATTATAGTAGTATACACTTGTTTATAATTTTTTCGGTGAATTTTTCCCTTTATTTGATTGTTCTGTCCGTCTGTCTGTTGCTCGTCTAACTCGAAAACGAAAGGAGACAGCGATGTCAAACCTTCGCCAATCGATTTCTACGAGTTCAAGGATCAGTGCTATTGAATACGAGATTGAATATGAGCCGGATCAAAAGTCTGGTTTTCGAATACGAGCTGAGCCGAGTTCCCCTACTGAAAATCGTAGGCGATTCTTCGTATCTTGTTTTATTTTGTTATTAATTTATGTCTTTTTAAAGTTTCCATACACAAATATGGTCTAAGTATACTTTATAATGCTCTACTATATTGACACTGAATTGTCCGATAGGTAATTGGAGTATGTCTGCTGGGCAAATATAATTGGTCAATCCCTTGTTGTCACATTTCAGCTTCACTTGCTTCAACTTTTGTGCTGTAGTTACGTCTACAAAAGGGTCCTCTGTTTCATTACATTATCTGTCTTGTTAGCTTCACTTCCCGTAGGAAGTTTCCAAGGCTCAGTCATAAATTTAGCATAGAACGCGTTCAGAAGAATCACCAGCGCTACGGCGGGCTGTCGAATACAGAAGATGGGCAACAAGTGTTAAAGACAGAATAACTTCGTGGATTGTCCAGGCGGAATTTACTTACTGAAATTCTCGAACACGGACGAAAAAATTGTAGATAACTTCGAACGAGTGCCCGCTAAAGGTTTTCGTAATAAAGATAGCTTTATCAAGATGCAATGTTCTCACTTGGAAAAACCGAACGGGTATTTTTCGTGATTTCCCAGACCTGAGATCGTTTGGAATATATCACATTACAGAAAGAAAGAGGAGATTAGTTTGAAATGTGGCTACACTGTATTCATGTGAAAAGTCGCTCGATGAAACCTCAACAGAATACTCAATTAGGTTACTGCTTCTTATCATGCACACGCCACTTGTCAATAAATACCAATATCGCGAGGTATTTATTTCGTCGGCAAGATTAACATCCCCTTATCGATTGTTCCCCATTTCCATCCAAATAAAACGATCGCCCGAGGTAGAGACGCGAGACAAACGGTTTTATGAAAATGGGGCAAACCGGAAATTAGTCTTACGCAATTACCCCCAGCTATGATTCAAATTTGATACGCTCGAAGCGAAATTATATCTTCGATTCAATTATCGAAATTTGCTCATTATTAGATTAACAATCGGAATAACCCCTTTGCGGTTAAAGCAACAAGGTCTATACATGACGTCAGACGACACTACAAGTTGACAATGAAAACAAGCACAAGTAAATCGTCCATTTTGCTAAATAAATTATCTCCTTGGCCCAGATCCAGTTTTTTAATTTCTTTCGATTTAATTAAGGTTTTGCATTTACCGTTGGATCTGGGAAATAATGGGGGACTAAAGTAAAGTGCAATTAATGGCAACGTCGCGCGATTCGAAACGTCACCGATCGTCTTTTTTTTTAGATAATTTGACACTCTTAATTGTTATTAATTTGAAAGTTGGCGAAACTGTGCAGAAATGAATTTAAACAAGTGACACCTACGAGTACGATATTAGTAAAATAGGACCGACCTAAAAAAATCTAATTTGATTAAAATACTGCTAATAGTGTCATCCTTACCGAGGTTTCTTCATTGGTAAAAGTACGAATAACACTGCGGTAACAACTTCCGTTTAAAATTCATAACGTCCACGGTATCATTTGTTTTAATCACTTTTCTCTCTCACCAATCGAACTACCCGTCAACCGAGTGCCACAATTGCACGCACTTGTCATTTCATCAAAATACTACCGTGCGTAATAAACCTGAGAGGCGCACACATTGCTTACATTAAAGATTTCACCAATGATCCACCTTCCTTCCCTGACATAGTGGACTTCGCCGCACGTTGTTTGCAAGTCGCTGCTTTGACGGCGCCACCGATCAGAGACAGGTTAGAAACAAATGCCTGTAATTTAAACAGTAGCGCACTTTGCAAAACGATGCGCCAATGTCGGACTTGACCGCGGCCATTTTACTTTTTTTTATCATAATCTTTATCATTGCCCCCATGCAACTCGCCTATCTGTTAAGAGGGGAAATACTGATAGATAAGCTCAATACAATTGGATAAGTGGCGCCGCCTGGTGGCATTGGCCAGAATAAATCGACTATTTAGGCACGTACACACGTTACTGCAACACGTGCGACCATTAAAAAACCATTTCGCCGCTTTCGCTTTATCACCACCACTCGGAAACGGCACAACATCCTCAGATTACTGAAGCGAATTTTCGCACGCCCACCAAAATCCACACCGCAATTGCGCCAAAAAAAATGTTAAGCAGATAGGAAGAGATTCGTGACGTAAGTAGGTAAAGAGACGTAACCCTGACGTCACACGGGGTGTGTTGCATATATAGACGGAAGGTCGCAGCGTTCTCAACAAACCCGAAGACTTGTTGCAGCTGTTTTTCGAGGTGTAATTAACTCGCGGTAGTAAACTTTTAATTTGCGCAAATAGGTCTACTTTGTAACGTGAGACGAAACCTACCTACCTCTCGATAGATAATGTTAATTGTAGAGCACCGGGTCTCTTTGCGTATTACGGTAAACAGAAGAAAATGAGAACGTTGCGTGATGCATGCGGAAATACAATTACGAAAAATATTTGCTAATTAAATGTAATGCGTATATTTCATTGTAGGTAGGCTGCGCCTGTTGTGTATTGTAATTGCTAACTATAAGTTTCTTTTCCATTCAGAAAAAAAAACGCCATTCTGTATAGAAATAATTGCGCTTCATTTACGATGCCAAATCAAGTGTAACAATGACGAAATGAAAAGTGAAAACAGCATTCTTACAGGAAGAAAGCTTTAAATTGAAACATGATAAGTTTGCGCATATTAAGCCCCTCATTTATAAAATTTGCAATTGTAATTCGAGTTCTGGAGGCTTGAAGTTCTAAGGTCTTCTTAGAAAGAGTTCCGATAACTAAGGTATCAAAAATCATTACCTCATTACCTGAAAAGGTGAACCTTTATGTAGTTCTGAATAGATCAACAATAGTTTCTGATAAGTTATTAAAATACTGTAACTTTTGATCTAGTAGCCCGATCTTGGAACTGTTTGAAATTATGGATTCTGCAGGCCACATTCTATAAGAAAATGTTTTTTCCCGGTCGATCTGAGACAATTTTTTCTTCGGTCCTCAAAAAAAGGCAGTGTATAACCTTCCTTTTTTACCAAAAATCGACTACACCAAAATTTCTCGGGAAAAAACTTTTTCTTATTAATTTTGGTGCGTAGAATCCAAAACAATTCGTACTTTTTCGATCAGACTTCTCAATCAAAAGTTATAGACTAGAAACCAATTTCGAAAGAAAATTCAAAGGGCTGTAAAATAGTTCCTTGAAAAATCGATGCAAAAGATCTCATATAACTCGTATAATGAATAGTTGCACACCTAACTTGTGTAGGCTGATGCGGAACTGTGGACAGAATTCCAATATTCCACCAAAAAATGTATTCAACTATTTTTCTTATAAATGTTTTAAGGAAAGGCGAAAAATATTAAATAGCACAAACCGTTTTTAGGTCAAACTTCATTATAAAGTGTCAGTGCCTTTTTGTGTCATTCGACACAGACCTTTAAAATTCTACCAACCAAAACGACGAATCGCATACGATTTTCAGTAGGGGAATTTTTTGCCACTCAGCTCGGATTCGGAAACTAGAGTTTTGATCCGGCTCATATTTATTAGCACTGATCTTGGAACTCGTAGAAATCGATTGGCAAAGGTTTGACATCGCTGTCTCTTTTCGTTCTCGAGTTAGACAAGGAACAGACCGACAGACGGACAGACCATCATATAAGGGAATTTTTTTCTTTTGCTTATAGGTAAGATTGTATTTTTTCATTAAAAAAAACTTTTGGAGCTCTTAAGACGTGTATCATCCAAAGTGAAATATTTTTCGGTTGAAATTCAAATTCTCATTGATTTTACAATTACCGAGTTTTGGTCTTTCTAGCAAAAAAAAAACGCCAAATCAAATTGATGCTCTGTGAAATTCGAGAAATTTGTTTTGAATTTAGGACTAATTTGTCCCCCTAGCATTTTTCCGCAAAAAAATTGTGTGTTATTGTTGGGATTTCTAATCAAAAATCGACTAGACAAAGGGAACCTTCGCGAAACTATAGAGCAACTTGGGTTTCCAATTTGTACCCACAAGCAACTTTTTTTTAATGAAAAAACGTTTTTGGAATCTCCGCAACATATGGAAAAATTGTGTTTTTAATTAAGGACTAAGCTGATAAAACCCTTGTTTTTATGAAAAATGATTCAGAAATCGCATCTATTATAAATATTAATTGTAAATAAGTAAATAAAATGTCGTACTTTAATTTACCTTACAATTTTGTAAATGACAACAAAAATAATTTGTTCCCAAAAAAAGCGTGTAGGCGCCGTGGGTACAAATTACTACTAAATTTATAGGTGGCAATTTTCAGATTAAATTAGAAATTTACATTGTTTATTATGGTTTAAATAATTGAGTAATTGTTTTAACAATCACGAAACTATAACTTGGGTACAAATTAGGGTTCCGAACTATTGAGTTCATTTGTCAAAAGCTTAATTTGCTAGCTTGTATTCCAGCTCGCACCCCCAGCGGGTACAAATTCTAATTTTGTGGGTACAAATTAGTCTTTAATTAAGATGCGAGCGACTTCTAAGATAAGACGTTAAAAACACTGGCCGTAGACCCCTCCGATCTAGTCTTTAATCAGTCCTAAATTATTAGTGTTTACGCATTTAAGGCTTTCTAACCTGTTCTTCAGTCTTCTAGATTGTTTAAGAACCTCTGAGAGTATTGAAGAGCCTTTTAGTAATCTTTAAAAAGCTATAGTTTTCAAAAAACCGTAGGTGTCATAAGCATAACGGGGAGTCTTAAAGTGTTAAGATTTTAGTTAAAGTCAATAAACTCCTTAACAGGACTTAAAAATCCTTCTTGAATAGTTTTTAAAAGGATTTAAGAGCAATTAATAAGCAGTATTTGTTTTCCTTTAAGAGTTTTTAACAACTCTTAAGGGACTTTAACAAACCATAATTTCAGGTCTCCAAGATTCACCAACTTTTAAGAACCTTGATTTCTTAAGAGCATCTAAAGGCTTTTAAGCATGTTTAAAAAGTCGCCTACGGTCTTCAAGAACTTTCAGAACCTACTAAATGCTTTAGAGTGTTTTCAAAGCTTTTAGTGTTACAAAATCTCTTAAACTTAGCTAGAGGTTTCGCGAGTCTTTTAAGCGCCTATGAGACTTGCAAGTCTAGAAAGGCCTTTGAGAGTCTTCAAAACCGTTCTAGATTGTTGTAGAGCCTTAACGTTTTTATTAGTCTTTGAGAGACATTGTAAAATTCAGTTATTATCTTGTCGGCGTGTACGATGGGTCTGGGATTTTTTGTTTGTTTCATGTTATGATGTGCTGACAGCAAATATATTATTATTATTATTATTATGTTCCAAAATGTTGGCTAGTGGAGTAAGCCTTGCAAGGAGCTTCAAATGGTCTTGAATGAGGTCCATAGAATTAACCCTTCGAGATTGCTTTGGCCTTGTTTAGTTAAAAAATCGTGTTCATGATTGTATTTTAATTGTAAATGATTTGCACCTGGCTGGAATCAATTTTAGAACTACCTTCGCTTGGTCCGGAAGTCAAGTAAAATTAGATGATATTTTCCACTCCTTCTCCCTTTCCCCCTTTTATGTTCGAGTACAAATTAGGCTAATATTTTATTATCCCGTTTGCCCTCCTTTGAAGTTTATTATGACTATACAAGAGACTGGTATTTTACCACTAGATTATTGTGCATAAATGCAAAAGTGATTATTTTTCATGACTCTTGAATTTTAATGCTGTTTAAAGACTGTTATGCGATGGGTCTCTAAACCCTACTTTGTATGCAAATATTATACCACTGAACCCTGTATTATACAGGGTGCCCATTATGTACGGAATATAGTAAATATCGCGGTAAATATCGAATGTATACAACATTTTTCTATATGAAAGTTTTATTTCCCATAATAAGGCAGCATTCAGTTGTTTTTATTTTAGAAAACAAATGAGCAACGAAAAACAATTGAATTTTTTTAAATTGCAGTGCACATGTTCATTAGTCTCATTTGATACAGATTTTGTTTCTCTTTTCGATGATATAACATGTTAGTACCCGTATCCAAGAAAATGTTCCAAAAAAATTATTATAATTAGATCAATGACATTAATCCAGATATCCTACATCAAAATAAAACAACAGAACGTGTACGTTTCTTATTAAACCTTGAAGACAAAACGAAATTAGCAGTAAAATGGGTTTCATCCCAATGAATGTTTAACATGTTCACCTATCACAAAAAGCTTGAAATAAAAATTAATTTCTTCTACACGGGCGCTAACGTGTTACGTCATTGAAAAGAGAAAAAAAGCTCTATCAAATGAGCCTAATGAAAGTGTGCATTGCTATTTTAAAAAATTCAATTGTTTTTCGTTATTCATTTGTTTTCTGAAATAAAAACAATGGAATGCTGCCTTATTTGGGAAATAAGATATATACTATATTTCATACATAATGGGCACATTGTATCATGAGGCAGGTTATGTCCTAGCCAAGGGGCGGGCCTGAACTGGAACCCTGAACATACCCCTATATTGTTGTTATGGTGAGACAGGTCATGCTTTTATGCAGGCGCCTGAGCTCCTGACCATAACCAAAAATGATATTTTATTATGTGTACTCTTCGTACCTTGCGCGCTTAGTGTGAATGTGGGGTTCCCTTACATACATTCATTTCCGTGAAATATTTCCAAGATTTGGATTTTCACGATTTCAAAAACTGACTAAAGAGTAAAAAAGTTACCGGGCCTTACTATTTTGGGGAGTTAAATAATACACTTTACTACAGATTTGAAAAACTGTGGAACTCTCCGATTTCGCCAATGAAAGTTGTGAGTCTGTAATAAGAGTCACATTTAG